GTTTCTCCGTGATCTGTTCGAGGCGTCCTCCACCTCCGTTTCTAACTCCACCATTCTGGTGAGCAAAGTGTTTGTGGTTGTGGCGGCTTCGTTATGAGCCGCAACCACGTGGCCCAGCCTCAGCTTTACCTGGGGCAGTGTAAGGTCATGTGTACAGGGGTAAGTCTCCGTTTACTAAGCGTTTTGGGTCGGTCGGGGCGCGGAGTTCGGAGCCTAAGCTGGCATATTTGTCGGCGTCAAGCCACGCCCCCGGTTTATTAAGTTTTTATTTGAGTGGGTAGTGACTAGGGGCTTGGGGAACCCTAGTCACTTTGGGGGGTGGGGACATTTCATTTAGGGCCCCCACCCACCTGTGAGGAAGTGCCCTTCGCCACTTGTACCTAGAGAGGACTAATGGCTAGCCTCTTGCCTCATGATTATGGCCCCTCTCATCAGCCCATGCTGTAACTTTAACCCCATGGCGATTTGACTGTGGTTGTGGAATCTGAGCACTGTTCGGATATATTGAGCGCTCAGATCCAAGCTATCTGGGGATAGGTTGAATGTGGGGGTTCTGTACAGTATGATAGGAGTTATGTATTTTTGTGTATTTTTGCTGTTGGTGTGAATAGGGATATTTTCTGTACCTGAAGATAGTTGGCTTACCACACCCAGTTAAAGGACCACTATAGTGCCAGGAAAACATACTCGTTTTCCTGGCACTATAGTGCCCTGGGGGTGCCCCCACCCTCAGGGACCCCCTCCCGCCCGGCTCTGGAAGGGGAAAGGGGTTTAAACTTACCTTTTTCCAGCGCTTGGCGGAGAGCTCTCCTCCTTCTCTCCTCCTCCAATCCGCCCCGTCGGCTGAATGCGCACGCGCGCATTTACAATGCTTTCCTATGGACGCTGGCGTGCTCTCACTGTGAAAATCACAGTGAGAAGCACGCAAGCGCCTCTAGTGGCTGTCAATGAGACAGCGACTAGAGGATTAGGGGGAAGGCTTAACCCATTCATAAACATAGCAGTTTCTCTGTTGAATCCCACCTGCCTACGGGGGGAGGGGCCGGGGGGAGGACAATAGGTTCCCCCCCTCATTATCCTTTAGGGCCCCCACCTGCCACTCAGGGGTGGGGGCTGGGTGGGGAGGACAATAGGAACCCCCCTTATTGTTATTTATGGCCCCCACCCACAACTCAGGAGTGGGGGTTTGGGGGAGGACAATATGTCCACCCCACATTCTCATTTAGGGCCCCCACCCGCCACTCAGGGGTTGGGTCTGGGGGGGAGGACAATAGGTCGTCCCACCTTATTGTTATTTATGGCCCCCACCCACTGCTCAAGGGTGGGTGCCAGAGGGGAGGACAATAGGCCCCCCCACATTCACATTTAGGGCCCCCCCCGCCGCTCAGGGGTGGGGACCAGGGGTGAAGACAATAGGTCCCCCCCTCATTGTTTTTATGGCCCCCACCTGCCTACGGGGGGAGGGGCAGGGGGGAGGCAATAGGTTTCCCCCCCTCATTATACTTTAGGGCTCCCACCCGCTGCTCTGGGGTGGGGGCCGGGGGGAGGACAATAGGTTTCCCCCCCTCATTAGCCTTTAGGGCCCCCACCTGCCGCTCAGGGGTGGGGGCCGGGCGGGGAGGACAATAGGTTCCCCCCCCACCCCATTATCCTTTAGGGCCCCCACCCGCCGCTCAGGGGTTGGGGCCGGGGGGGAGGACAATAGGTCGCCCTACCTCATTGTTATTTATGGCCCCCACCCGCTGCTCAAGGGTGGGTGCCGGGGGGGAGGACAATAGCCCACCCCCCACATTCACATTTAGGGCCCCCACCCGCCGCTCAGGGGACTAGGGATTTTTTTTTTGAACAGTGAGCAGTTAGGGAGTTATCTGCACGTGGTCTGTAGAAGGGACCTATATCTTATCAGATTTTTAATATTATACTTTGAATCCCATATATTTAATAGATAAGTATATATAAAAATAAAACAAATTGTAGAAACTCAAACCACTGTATTTCCCTCTAATCTAAAATTGAGTGTCTCCATCTTGGTTTCCTGTGGGTCATTGTTGGAGAACAAAAGGTTAGCAGAGGTTATCTGTTATATTCAATGTTTTATTAGATGGTGTAATTTCCAGACAAATTATAGTTCCACTTTAAGAAATTAAAGAATTTACAGTTTTCATACTCCGTTGTTAATATTTCCAAATCACATTGCAATAAACCAAACATATAAACAGATATGTGAAACAGAACAGTGATTAACTCTGGAATGACCTTTGTAAAAAAAACTACCAGTTAACAAAAGCACAACTGTTTCTTTGTTACATAATGCACATTGCACAGTAAATATTTCACGGAATCACTGCTGGCTATCTTCTTTTTTTTTTTTTTACTTCATTATATAACAAGTTTACTGAAAATATAGTGAATGTATAGTAACCACGTGTATTTATCATTGTATGTTGCTTTGTGCAAAGCTAATTAATTGTGTAACGTTTGCTGTTCTCTGAGACTGTCTTGTCTGTTTATCGTGGTTTTCACACGTTTTCTTTTCTTTGTAAATAGATGTTTTTAAATGCATCGGCTTACTCAGACAATTTGTTGTATGTATGCAAAAATATTTTTTGCATCTATTTCGTGGAAGACAGGAGGAAGTCTTTGGCGATACCATTGAAAGCTTCACCTTGTACAGGGAAGTTTTTTTGTCTGCTTGTACCTTTCTTTTGGCACTAACTGCACTTTTTGGTTTGTGTACACATAAACTGTGTTTTTCTTGCAAATTTGTTGTATTTATCAGCTTTGAAACACGCATGATATGTCTGTCCCTGCTTCAAAGAGCCCTCCATTTTAGAGAAAACAAACTAAGTCAATAAAAGTGCACTACATTTGCTTGATGTCACTTTCTAGTGTATAACATATGATCTAAATATTGAAATATTATGCTAGCAAAATTATTTATTTATTACTATTTATTTAGTTATTTTATTATTTTCACCTCCGATTTATACCATTATATCATTAGCATAAAGGTAAAGACAACAAATATGACATCCAAACATAACTGTGCCTGGTGGCTGAATACCTCAATGGTAAATTAAACATTACAATAGCACATTAATATGGCATGTTTTTAAATAGAAATCTCATTACAGTGCTGGGTTTACCGCTGTAGGTGATTTAATGATTCAGGGTACAGTACTGTACCCCACCCACACTCTTTAAAGGATTAGACTTAGGGCGTTTACAGTAACCGCAGAATTAGAGTTATGGTTAGGTGTACTTAGGTTTAAAGGGAAACTATAGTCACCAAAACAATTTTATGCTTAATAAAACTGTATTTTTGTGTGTAGATCATAGCTCTAAAGTGTCTCTGCTCAATCATCTGCCATCAGGAGTTAAATCACTTTTGTTTTAGTTCATGCAGACATACTTCCCCTGGCTGTGACTCACCCAGTCTTCAAGAAGAGAAAATGGTTTTATTTTTAATCAGATATTATCTACTGCTCTGTAAATTGAACTTTAATCACATAAAGGAGGCAACTGCAATGTCTAGCAAGGTATAAACAGTGCAGGAGATATGAAATTCTAAATTAAATAGACTGTGAAATAAAGGAAGTGTAAACATGAAATCTCTCTATACAGGAAGTGTTTAGGAAGGTTGTGTAAGTCACATGCAGGGAGGTGTGGCTAGGGCTGCATTAACAAAGTGATTTAACTGCTAAATGGCAGAGAATTGAGCAGTGAGAATTCAGGGACATGACCAGAATTGCTCATTAAAGGGGCACTCCACTGCCCAAATACAAAATAAATCAACATCACTGTTTAGTAGACATACGCCCAGTAAAACCTTGAATGCCATTAATTATGCTTTTTTTTTCCTTTGGGGTATATCTAAAAACAGCTTGCAAAACATGCAGTTCTATTGTCTGCAGTCTTTGCAAACCATCCTCTTCTAACCCTGTCTTGACTATATGTAGCTGTCCAATCACAGACATCCTAATGCCGCTTAATGAGAAGTTTTTGCAAGGCAGGTGCTCTGGGCAATTGCTGCCTCTTGAGTTTATCTCCACTGAGCTAACCAAACCAAGAAGTAACAATTGGTCCCCTGTGTTGTTGTTTTTTTTGCTAAAACCGGTGAAAATATATTTTAACCCCTTAAGGACACAGCTTCAGAAGCTTGACTTACACTTAATGACACAAGCAATTTTTGCATTTTCTTGCTGTTTGCGTTCAACTGCAATTTGCATCTCTCTCATTTATTGCACCGACACATATTATATACTATTTTTTAAAGGACAGAAAGGGCTTTAATTTTATATAACATATATATATATATATAAATGCTTATTTATTATAAAAAAAAATACAGAAAAATGTAAACAAAATGAAAAATATATAAATGTGTATTGGTGTATATAATATCAAATTGTATATTAATTGATTCATATTTGTTTTTTAATTGGTATATATGGATATATTATGAGCGTTTTTATATTTTTATTGTATAATAAAATCTGATTTGCAGGGGACGGAGCCTAACTGCCGAGCCAGCCGGATGCACCTTGGTCGAGCTCCTGGGGAAAAAGGCCTAAAACATCAACTAACTACGATATTAATCGGAAAACCGATAACTGCAATACTCACAGCACTTGTAGGAACTCCCACACATGTCATCCTATCAGAGTTTGACCGGCGTTGGGCGATTCTGGATTGCGGGAAGATGGAGGCCTACTACACAAGGGAGGGAGGGAGGCGGCCGATCCCTCTGCTCTCAGGCTCCTATACCTCCGCAGGGTCCGTCAGAGCACAGCTAAATCCCCCCCGCCGGTGATGGAAATCCCGGCACCCATCAGCCGGGCTGTGAGGTCTGGAGGCACGCCTGATCAGCGACATAAGACGGATAGTTCATGTAAAATGGCGGTACAGAGCACCCCTGACAATGGACGACGCCTGCCCGACCTCCAGCTCAGACTAGACAAGCTACTTGTGAAAACTTTTGGCGAAAACTGGAGAACAGAATGCACCCACCTGCCTCACAACTGCTGAGCCATCTACCCAAAAAGCAGCCCCAACAAGGGAGAAAAAAAACAAAAGTCCCAACTGCAAGGCAGGCCTCAAAATGGCGACGGACCAAGCGGCGCACCCTACATCAGCACAAGAAGCCAAACATCTACGAGAAACACCGCCAGGGGCATAAAGCACGACTGGAGAGCATGGCCATACAAGGGGTCCAGAGGATCGCAACACCTCACTCCACTCCAGCTACAGATACTGCATGGAAGCCAGACTCTTCTAACAATGTCTGGACACGGAGACCCACAAGGCCCTGCCATGCTCCAAAACTGCGGGGTACCCCTGACAGGCATCGGCTGAGCGGGGAGCCGGAGCACATACCCCAGACATGGACGCATTACAGAGACTCACAAGCAGAAGACACCGGGTAGAGGTTTCACCACACCTACCAGAGAACAGTACTAAGCTTATGTTTCTGATACCTCATTCTGTGGTATATGTGCATTTTAGTCTCCCACTCTGTAGTTTGGAATAGAATATCATTACTTCTTGGCATAATGCCCCCATTTTGAGCCTATATAACCAGTGCCTCTCTCTAAGGGCATAGCTGATTTAAAGTTGTAGCCTGTTAACTCACACCACGTCAGCAATTACAAGCGTGCTATAGTTTACAGTTAAAGTACAACCGCTGGCTATTACCAGAACCTTTTTATTCTTTGTTCTCCATATTTGTTCAGACATAGCAATCTTACATTAAGCGATGCAACTAACATGTAGACATCGTAGAAACACTGTTTTACCTTGTTTAACCTACTAAGATTTTCTTGCATATGACAGCCTATAGTTTGTTCATACTTAGACAGCTGTACCTGACAGGCATCTTACTATACATAGAATCAAACAGGTATAATATGTGTATCATGCTAACCACTTACATGTTAAGTCGTTCTTTACATTTACATTTACTTTTCTCAACTCATAACCCATTATAGTCACAACTAGCCTTCATGTCATAATATATAAAAATGTGCATTGTATTCCCATGCCATGCCTCAGTTTACCAATGTTAACTGTTAAATAGTGAGCACATGCTGTTGGGGCATGTCAAACGCATTTGTAACCGTTTTTTCTCTATGCACTCAAAAATAAAGAATTCAAAAAAAAAAATCTGATTTGCATTATACATGGGAGTGCAGGTATTTCTTGATATATGATTTCTATGTAAGCCACCTTAGTGGGTGGTTATTATACCCTTTTGCAACCAGTCGGTGTTTACAGGCTGGACATAAATGGATTACCCTCTACATGCTTTACTCTGATTTTTTTTTAACTCACATAGAATTAGTCTGACCGCCCTATTATCAGAACCTGTCAGCATGTCTATCTATCCTGATAATTTTATACTTGATACTGACTTGGACATGTACTGTCTTGCTTGTTTATTTTATTTAAATTCTTTATTTTTGCCTCACTCCCCTCAGGAGTATACAACAGATGATATGCCTGGAACAGGCCCGGACTGGCCATCGGGCAAACTGGGCAAAAGCGAGCGCCGGCCCCGCTGTGTTCTATGAAGAGCCGGAGGGGAGATCAAGGATCTCCCTCACCGGCCCACATGCTCCAAAATGCGGCCGCCGGCGGGGGGAGAAAGGGAGGGAGACAGCCAAGCTGGAGAGAGGACCCTGCAGAGCGATAACTTGCAGCTCCGCCGGGTTTCTCTCGCGAGATCCGGACCGTTGCCATGGCAACCAGCCGGGTCTCGCGAGAGTGAACTCTAGCCCCAAAGGGCTAGAATTCACTTACCACGAGGACCACCAGGGATGGATGGAGGCAGCACGACCCTCCTCCCCCTTCCAGGCTACAGGTATGAAGGGAGTGGGGGTATAATGTATTTATTTTTATAATAATAATAAAAAAATCAATATTGTCATTTAACTTCCTCCCCCCCAATACACAATCCTTGCAAACACACACATCACCCTCACCCAGCACCCTAACACACTCACACATCACCCAGCACCCTAACACTCACCCAGCACCCTAACACATACACAGCACCCTAACACTTACTCAGCACCCTAACGCTCACCCAGCACCCTAACACATACACAGCACCCTAACACTCACCCAGCACCCTAACACACACAGCACCCTAACACTCACCCAGCACCCTAACACATACACAGCAACCTAACAGTCACACAGCACCCTAACACATAACCAGCACCCTAACACATACCCAGCACCCTAACACTCACACAGCACCCTAACACATACACAGCACCCTAACACATACCCAGCACCCTAACACATACACAGCACCCTAACACTCACACAGCACCCTAACACACACACAGCACCCTAACACTCACCCAGCACCCTAACACTCACCCAGCACCCTAACACTCACCCAGCACCCTAACACACACACAGCACCCTAACGCTCACACAGCACCCTAACACCCAGCATCCTAACCTCACCCAGCACCCTAACACTCACCCAGCAGCACCCTAACACTCACCCAGCACCCTAACACTCACACAGCACCCTAACACTCACCCAGCACCCTAACACATACACAGCACCCTAACAGTCACACAGCACCCTAACACATACCCAGCACCCTAACACATACCCAGCACCCTAACACTCACACAGCACCCTAACACATACACAGCACCCTAACACTCACACAGCACCCTAACACTCACCCAGCACCCTAACGCTCACCCAGCACCCTAACGCTCACCCAGCATCCTAACACTCACCCAGCACCCTAACACATACACAGCACCCTAACACTCACCCAGCACCCTAACACATACACAGCACCCTAACACTCACCCAGCACTCTAACACACACACATCACCCTAACACACACACACATCACCCTAACACACACACATCACCCTCACTCACACAGCATCCTCACACACACAGTACCCTTACACAGCACCCTAACACACACACATCACCCTCGCACAGCACCCACACACACAGCACCCTCACACACAGCGCCCTCACACACACAGCACCCTCCCACACACACAGCACCCTCCCACACACACAGCACCCCCACACACACACTATACTCCTCACAAATGCACACTACACCCCACACACACAGCAGCCCCCAAACACGCTGCACCACTCACACACACACTCACTAGATCTCCTATACGCACTCTTGACAGGGCCGTTTTTAACACGGGGCAAAAGGGGCAGCTGCCCCGGGCCCAGTCAGTCTTAGGGGGCCCAAAGTAGCTGCCCCTTTAGCCCTCCGGCCGCCATGGTGCGTGCGGCCCGCGTGGAACTAGTACTACCACCGCAGGTCGCGCGATGTGAAGGTTCATCCACCCGCCAATGCTCTAAGGGCCACCCTAAAGCAATGGATTTTAAGGGGCCCGGCCGCTTTGAGAGCACGACCGGTGCCCCTGTGATGATCCCGCGCGGGAGGAGGAGAAGAAAAGGAGGGAGTCAGAGTGGGAGCTCTGACTCCCATCAGCCTGAGCCAGCCTCCTGCACTACAAAGGTAGAAAACACATAAAAAAGTGCATGTCTGTATGTATCTGTATGTATATATGTGTCTGTCTGTATGTATATCTGTTTGTATGTGTGTATCTGTGTATGTGTATCTGTTTGTATGTGTGTGTGTATCTGTTTGTATGTGTGTGTGTGTGTGTTTCTGTATCTGCATGTGTCTCTCTGTGACCCTGTGTGTCCATATGTGTGTCTTTGTATATATGTGTATCTGTGTGTCTCTGTGTCTGTTTGTATATGTGTATGTTTATATGTCTATATGTTTATATGTGTATCTGTGTGTATGTTTGTATGTGTGTCTGCATGTCTTTGTGTCTGCATATGTGTCTGTGTTTGTATCTGTGTGAGTGTCATTCTGTATGAATGTGTAGCTGCATGTGTGTCTCTGTATCTGTATATGTGTCAGTGTCTGTATCTGTGTGTTTCTGCATGTGGGTCCATGTATGTATCTGTATGTTATTGTGTGTATCTGAATGTATGTCAGTTTCTGTTCATCTGCATGTTTGTCAGTAAGTGTATCTGTGCATCGGTGTATAAAGGTGTGTCAGTGTGTATCTGCATGTGTGTCTGTGTATGCACTTGTGTGTCTGTGTATCTCTCTATGTATGCCTGTACCTGTGTATGTGTGCATCTCTATGTATGTCAGTGTTTGCATCTGTATGTGTCTCAGTGTGTGTATTTTGTCTCAGTAAGAAATGAGAGGGCTAAGTGTGTGTGTGTTTTTTTTGTGTGTGTGTGGGCGTTGATGGCGTGATGGCATGCTAGGAAGGGGAAGGGCTAGGTCAAGGGGCCCAAATCAAATACCTGCCCAGGGTCCAATCAGTATTAAAGACGGCCCTGACCCTTGAGTCATTCAAACACACACTAGATCCCCTACACACAGACTCTGCACCAGCTACACACACACTACATTTCTGACCTACACACTCTGGATCCCCTATGCACACACTAGATTCCATTTAAGCAAACTCATAGTGTCTCCATAAATGGGATTCAGTGAGTATCCCAATTATGGAAACCCCTGAGACCAGTTTCAAGCAAACACAACGCAAGCATGTTATTAAATTTGCTTGCGCTGTGAAGAACAAATACAGGGCCCTTTTCTCATGCCCTGGAAGAGCATTGAACCAACATGCTCACTTCCATTGGGGATGACAAAACACACCCTATCTGGCCCCGCCCCCACCCACTTTTCAGTGGGCCGCTGTGAATAAAAAATGCCCGGGCCGAATTTTTTCCCCAGTCCAGCCCTGGCCTGGAACAAAGTTATACCATAAAACAAGCTTGACATTTAGACAATGTGTATCACTATGGAGTGGGGGGAGGATTTTTATATATTTATGGGCATGCTGGCCTAACAGGTAGCGTCCACTGTAGTGTACAACATTTCTCAAGGTACAGATTAGCACCCTCTTATAACATATCTATGGCATATGTGTATTGTGCTATAAAAAGTGGGGAGGGTGGGGTGGGGGACTTCTCAAGTAACGTGCCCCCCTTTGTGTAGGTTTGTCAGGATAGCGTCTAGGTCGGGGTGTATCAGCTCCCCGTTGAGGTAAAAGCTACATTACAGAGGGGAGAAGGATAGTTAGGTATAAGTGGGAACGCAGCAGCAGGTAACAATAATAACCATCAAAAATAACGTACGAGAATTATAATACTGTTAGTACGCAGTTCGTCTGTATGATCTTGCTGTCCTTCTGGCTTGTTGGTGGAGGCATCTCCTGCTGGCGAACTGTGTGTCGTGTGCCAGTCAAGTGACCAGGAGTGTCTTGCTTGTTTTCATAATACTAAAAATGTGCAGTGTATAGGAACACCATGCAATTCTTTCATTATATGTTCGTTTTTGCAGGTGATATCGCTGTTGTTGTGTTACATGTTGGCTTGTA